CATTTTTAAAAAATATTCGTACAAGTTAAAAATGTCAGCCCGCCCCCATCAACAAGGGCGAATAATGTTCTCGACCAATCAGCATTACGCGTACATTTTTACTACTTCTGGTTTAGACGCGTATGTCAACACGGAAATTAGGGTTGTAAATAACCCTTGGGGGCGCCTGGTTTCCGGGGCGCCGGACGGACGGACGGCTTATATTCTCGCTAAATGTCATTTTGGTCCAAAAAACTTCTTCACCCTTTTTTTAGTCATATCCGCGTTTTATCGAAAAGGATAAAAGGCGGATATGGTGCAACTTTCATGCTTAATTTTCTCTGTCGTCTGGGTATGTAGTAATCTAACTTTATGCAATGTAATGTGCAATTTTTCAATGCAGTTATCGGTTTAAATATACCTAGAATTCCCGTTAAGATATATGACAATTGCCGTACGGCCTACTTTTACGCAAACGCGAATAGCTACAATTGTAACATTCGGCTTAATTTTCTCTGTTATCTGGGCATGTAGTAATCTAATGCAATGTTATGTGCTGTTATTTCAAGGGCTTTTTAATGCAGATATTGGTTTAAATATGCCTAAAATTCCCGTTAAGATAAGACAATTCCCGTGTGGCCTACTTTTACGCAAACACAAATTAGCTACAATTGCAACTTTCATTCTTAATTTTCTCTGTTATCTGGGTATGTAGTAATGTAATTTTATATTATGTAGTAATCTAATTTTATGCAATGTAATGTGCTGGGTTTTTTTCAAGGGCTTTTCAATGCAGTTATCGGTTTAAATATACCTAAAATTCCCGTTAAGATATGACAATTGCCGTACGGCCTACTTTTACGCAAACGCAAATTACAACTGCAAATTTCATGCTAATAAAAATTAGTTCATTTGCCCGAAACGTATGTAGTCCAGTCAATCTGCATGTGACCCGAGGTCAAAGAAATTGCAATAGAATTTTTCTTAGTGGTAAAATGTGAGGGAAGGTGTCCTGATTAACATACTAAAAATCAAAAAAAATCCCTTCGGTGGAACATGGTGAAAATCAAGTTTTTCTTCTACCTATAGAAAACCATTGTGGACAGAATGTTCAAATTTTGAAATCATTTTTAGGCAAATGTAACCTACATTATTGGAACGCTTAAACAAAACTATATAAAGGTCAATTAAACCGTTATATTCAATTTAGTAGCCAGTTTGTCGTTATTCTAGCCCAAAGTTGGAAAAATAGGGCAAAATTTGCACAAAATACAAATTTTTGGCATTTTAAACTTGTATAACTTCGGCTGGATAGGCAAAAGCAAGGTAACCGTTTAATTAATGATCTATATTACTTATGTTTATCACTTATTTACTGAGACCGAGGGAAACGGTGTGTTTTGTGGACCCGAAACCACCACAGACACTGCTTTCCCGAGGTCTCGGTAAATAAGTGTTTTGTTATATAGTATATATACCTGTCAAAGTATGAATAATTCACTGGTTATTGGAGTGAACTTAATTTGAAACCAAAACTGGATAAATGGAACGCCGTTATTGTTTAGAAAAAAGTTTTAAAAATGAACTTTGGAACTTCATGGTTGACACGCATGCGTATTGCGCCCATTTTATTATTGACCGGTGTCCCGGGATTTTCGCCCCCCCTACATTTTCTAGGGGTGCACCGGAACCAATTTTTTAAGTTCCGGCCGGAACCGGAACTGGAAAAAAGTTCCGGCAGGAAGTTCCGGCCGGAACCGGAACTAATTTGTTAAGTCATATATAGTCATATGTTACTTTGTCTGCTGCCAAACAGGCAGACACTTCAAGTCATCAAGGAGAGAGCTCGCAAATGTTAGAATAAAAAGACTGACAAACGTTAAACGTCATAATGAAGTGTTAATAGTGTACATTTCCCTTGCGTGGTCTAAATTTCTTCCTACTGTCAACTTTTGTTAGACAGAAAAACGTTTGATATTCTATCTCTCTGAAAACGACAGAGTTCCGGTTCCGGCCATGCTT